ATATATATATATATATATATATATATATATATATATATATATATATATATATATATATATATATATATAATTTTTTTATATAAATACACATTTATTTATCGATAGTAATTCAACCGATACACACAATACTGTAACTATAGAGATATTTATGTAGAAATAAATTGGAACACATACCTGACACATGTCAAAATTGAAGCATTTTAAACAGCGATAACGGAACCCAACGATTGGACACTCTTTGCATATATTGCACTTTGATTGATGCTTGGCAGTTTCTGCAGCAGCAAGTCGATGCAGTACAGGCAGCCATACTAATGACTGAGGCTCTTTCTTCATCCAATCAAGGAAGTGTGCTGATGAGATTTCTGGTTTACCATTGTTCTATACATTAAAGATATCAGTGTTACTGGTAAAAAAGTTACATGATTGAATTACACAGGTATCTAGTTTGCATTACAAAATTCTCACACCTTTACTGGTGTAGTCTCCAATGGAACAGGATGACAATCAGGATTTGTCAGTGGAAACAGCGCCCTCTAACATGACAGACAGAGTGTATAGTTGTGTTCACGTTACACAAAGTACGGGCTAAGATTTAAGCTGATTTAGGCTTATCTAGCATATTTGCATTTCGGCTAGACCCAATTGCGTCCACGCACAGGGAGGGCCAGTCGTTAGCACGGGCTAAGGGCTACCATTAGTTGGTGACCTTTGGTAAGCCGCTATTTACGAACGAAAAATGGATGACACGCGCGAGGTTCTATTTCTGCTGCTGGCATGTTTCGTTCTAATTTTGAAGCGACGTGCACAGGAACGCGAGAGAAGACGGACCACTTATTTGATGCACATAAACAGTATACAACGGGCGTAACAGAATACAGCGTTTTATTAATGCATGTCGTAGACAGCGAACCAAATTTATTTTGTCTACGATTGGAGCTGCTGTACGCTCTACTACAGTGACCCGATTAGTGTGGAAGTGAGCGCGGAGTAATGACTGGTGGAATAGTGTCGTTATACGAACATGGGACAATTTTCACACCCAAAGATCGCCGCAGAGGGCGCTTAGCCCTGGGCTAAGCGTTCACGCATACTCCGTTAGCCCGTGCTAAGGTCTAGACCGCGTCTTAAATTCGGATCAGATTTAACCCGTACTTAGCATTCCTTAGCCCGTGCTAAGCGTTCACGCACGTTTTCTTAGCACGGGCTAAGGAATTTGACCTCTTAGCCCGTGCTAAGGAGCTGTGCGTGAACGCAACTATAGGCGACCAGATTAAACCTGGGTTGTTGATTTTGGAGAACACTAGTGAGGCTGCCTTGCTTCCTTTCAGAAAATCTACATTTTAACCAACTTACATGACATTCTATGTTATGTTGACTTTATCACATGAAAAGTTATAGTGCAGTTCATCAATTAATAAATAAATGTGAAAATCATAATTTTCAACACAAATAATAGTCTCGTTACCTTAAATGTTACATTATGTGGATTATATAAGAAGAGTATATTATTTTTATAACAACTATCACATCAAAATATTGAAGAAATTAGCAGCACTATTAAACAACAATACATACATGTAACATACTGAAGAGAGAATATGACAAATGAAAAAACAAAACTGAGGACATACATTAAATTTAAAATGAATTACAATCTGGAAAATTACATTAATGTTTTGGATAATAATCAAAGAATATCAATGATTAGATTCAGGACAAGTAGTCACAATCTAGCCATTGAAAAGGGCAGACATACCATTAGAAAATAGAATTTGTAAACAATGCCCATCACAGGAAGTTGAAGACGAATTACACTTTTTTTTAGTTTGCCCAGAAATGATTTTATTTTCAGTATTTTATTCCCCAAAGAAATCATTACCAACCTGCAAAAATTCACATATTTAATGAAAAGTAATGACAGAAATATAATAAAACTTTTAGGGGAATTTTTACATAAATCATTTATTTTAAGAAATTCTTTGGAAAAAGACCCACTTGGGATTTTCAGATCTGGAAAAAAAATTACGTGCATACTCGGAATACACTTGTTCATCAACCTGCCAAGTTTCACTGATACCTGCTGTAGAATTTCTGAGAAAATGTTGGAGATGGAAACCGGACAAAACCTGAATTATAACTCCCCTTTTCAGGCTGCGCCTGAACGGGGACTAATAAAAGGGTTGCGTCGTCACATAAGATTATCAAGTATAACCTTTAACATTTAAAAACCCGATATGATTCATGGGAAAATTGTTTACTTCTGATCATGTAACACAACAATATATGAGTCATTCTTTGCGATAGAGATCAAAGATCACAACATCCGGTTTCCGGCTTTACGGCTGTGCTCCTGCAATGTCACTCGTTCGCAATAAGTTTTAATTTGAAAAATATTCAAGTGCAAATGCAATTGTGTCACTTTCTAATGCCATCCATGTCATTACAGATGCAATATATGTAAAGAAAACGAACTTTAAAAGGTTAGGATGCGTGATTTTATGCCACAGTCCTGGCGCGTTTCAACCCTTGGGATATTTTACTATAATAGGGTGTGTCTACATCGCGCATTAAAATTTGTATATAACATTAGCGCGGAAAGAGTGGTATAAAAAAAGATCAGTGATTACTTGAAATCGATACCAGGAAGGGGGGGATAAAGAAAAGTTTTTGATGGTGTTCTACAAACTGATCAAGAAATTCAAGTTTGTTTTTAGGCCATCATAGAATAATATTGAATCACTTCACCCACTGCTGTAAGTCTCCATGACTACCCATATACAGTGAGTGATTTGCTGGTTCATACATATTCTGTAAGTCTCCATGACTACCAATATACAGTGAGTGGTTTGCTGGTTCATACATATTCTGTAAGTCTCCATGACTACCCATATACAGTGAGTGGTTTTGCTGGTTCATACATATATTTGTCTGTAGTATTCTTGTCGTTCACTAATGTTGAATTCTTTTTAAATCAATTTTTATATTTCATGTACTTTTATTGTTTACTTTATTAATCTGAAAACCTAAAAAGAAATGTTAACTCTTTCTTTACGGTATTAATAAAGCATTATTTTTATTCTTCTTGTATTCTGCATGTCTTGACTACGCACTGAGTGGTTATTCTGTCTTTTTTTCTTTTGGTGCGTTATTATTTTTATTTTTTGTATACTCAGATAAAAAATTAAAAAAAAAGAAAAGTTATATAACATTTTATTATTTAATAATTTATTAAAATACATTAAATTTGTCCAACTCCCTGTGGTAAAACCAATTGTGTTTCAGATACATGTACACAGCGCCCTCTGGTGTCACTACACAACATTAACAAATAATTACTTACGCAGACTTTCCCAACACTTTCTGAATTGCTTCAAGAATTTGATTATTATCTTTGCTATCAATATCCATGACAACCTCTTCCCCGGTAACTGAAAATAATAATAATAGTCATTTCAAGTTAAACAACAATTATCAAGTGCATTTTGTAATAAGCCAACCCTCTCATTCCAGAATTCTTCAACAAAATTGAGAAGCCTTCAGAATATTTATGCTGCCATTGTGACAGTCTGAAAGTAACAAAATAACAAAGCTGGTTTTTCTTTTTCATAGAAACTTGCAATTTTTAAAGTGAGTATTATTGTCATCAATAATTTCAACTTATTCTTTGCTGTATTCACCCATGTTACTGTTCCATATACAAGACATATTTAAGCAGACGTCAGGTGACTTTGCATAATTTAATAAACAATATACATTTATATACAGTTGTATGTTGTTTTGTCAGTTAAGATACGATTGACTCTCTTACCTAGCCATGATTGGATAAGAGGTGTTGGAGTTAGATTTTTGAATGTCAAGATTTGTACATGTGGACTTTTATACTGCAGCTGTCCTAGATTCCAGTAAATAAAATCCCTGTGTGAAAACAATAAGAGTTGTTTATTTAAAACAATTATATAAGCTCTAACTAAATATTTGTTTCAATGTAAAAAAAACAAACACTGCATGACTAACAATGTCAAAACTTATTATCAAAGTATGTGTGAAAGGACTAATTTCACAATCAAAATACTAGTAGTATAGTCTAATGTTGCTATTTTTATTATATATTTTTTTTACTTATGTTTTCAATTTACATTTCAATTTTTACATTTCAATTTTTCAACTTCATTGATGTACACAACCAAAATAGAAATGTAATATTTTCTTTACGGTGTCAATAAAGCACTATACTATTCTATTCTATTCTATTATATGAGCCGTTTTCTTTTCCTGCCAGAATCAATGTGTTTATAGCTTGAACCAAGCTATATACTGGCCATGCTTTCTAAAATAGTTGATCCCCAGACAAGGGAGCTCATTCTTGTTCTCCAGGGAAGGATAGTACACATAAAACCTGTTACAATTCCTGTTTTCTGGGGATAGTACATAGAGGTCCCAGGGGTATGCCAGCATTTGTGTGAAAATGATCTCAGCCCTTATATTTGATGAATTACTGAATCTAATACTTTAAATCATTTAATCAAATGTGTTTTTATGAATTTTGTTTTTTAGAAGCAACATTGATTTTTCTCATTTGCTTTGTAGTTTGTTTTTACCTACTTTTTTTTCAAGAAAAGATTTTATATAATTGACATTAATTTGCTTTCTTCAAAGAAAAAGTTTTTCTTTCTTTTGATTTAGTAAAAATAACAACTGTGTTTTATCAACATTAACATGAAGATGCCATTTGGTTGTGTCAACTGGGAGGTTAAACTGGCCGCAGTGGAGTTCTATACGGGCAGTATTTTGATAAGGCTTGTGATTGGGCGATAGGCCAAATAAAAAAAAAAAAAAATTGTTTCTGGTCCCCTGACCCTTGTCTAGATTTTTTCAGTCGATCCTGTATCTTTTTATGGCCAAACTTGAAAATAGACACTTCCACTCCATTTGAAATTCTTCATTTTTGAACTAAAATGTCAACTTGTACATGCAAGATGTGGTATATTATTGAAAAATACTCTCATAGGACAGTAAGGGCTAAGCAGCACTGCGTAATAATATATTGAGAATAAATAACTCTCATGAAATAATCAAAGAAAGCTTAGAAAGAACTCCCGTGTGCTGAGAGTATTGGAGACACATTCAAAATTAAATCAAAATTACTTGAACTTGAGATGTTGATGGAAACGCAGAAAACTAATTATGCAAATTAGGTAACTAATATGAACAGATTTAAGAGTAAAACTAATAAGGTCTGCACAATGTAACAAGTTTCATTGAAATGTGATTAGAACCAAAATAATATTAATTATTATGCTAATTAGAGAATTAATATGAACAGATTATAACCAAAAATTAATCAGGCTGTCTATTGTCCTAGAGCACTTATGTACCAAGTTTTATTCAAATGTGATGATCAATACTTGAGATATCAGTATTAATTAATTAGGTGATTAAGAAGCATAAATATTTACCAAAAACTAATATGGTGTATAGTCCTAGGTTCATTGAAATGTGATGGGTACTTTTTAAAAGTTTCATTGAAATCCAATGAGTGGCTTTTAGACATCAGTGCAACAGCCATAGAACAGCAAAAAATTAACTAATTATGCAAATTAGGTAATTAATAGGCACAATTATTTATCCCAACATTAATCAGGTCTCTGCAGTCCTAGAATATCTATGTAACAAGTCTCAATGAGATGTGATGATTAGTACTTGAGATATCAGGTGAAAAGCTGAAAATTAACTAATTATGCTAATAAGGTGATTAATATGCACAAATATTTACCCAAAAACTAATTAGGTCTCTGCATAGTCCTCAAGTAACTATGTACCAAGTTTCATTGAAACATGATCATTACTACTTGAAATATCAAAAGCTGAAAATTAA